TGCTGGAGCAGGAGGTGCGCGAGGCGCAGGAGCGGGAGCGAGAGCTGCAGCGCCAGAGGCTTAGCGTCTATGGCACCGCCGAGATCAAGGAGCCCTCGCCTAGTCTAATGGGTAAGCCACCTGCGCCCGGACACCGAGGCTCCCCGGGGCTCCAGCCGCCCTCGCCGACTGCCCAACTCCAGTGGCCCCTCTTCTGGCCCTCTGGGGGTTTTCCCCTGGTTCCCAAATACCTGGGACCCCCTCTCAAGTTTCCGTTCAGGCTTTCTGGGCTACCCACTCTCTGCGCTTCACTCCCTACTCCTCCTAAATACACCTCACCTAGGTTCGTGGTGGGGGAAGGGAGGAGGATTCCACATGTCTTTCTCTTTGTTGGGTCCCAGGGAACCCTGCCTGGGTTCTGCCACTCCTGGTACGTCCTTCAGGTTCCTATGTCCCCACTCTGGGTTTGCTTCCCTCCTCCCTCAGAATGGAGGTTTCCAGGGGACAGTGGGGGGTAAGCGCCTGTGTGTGTTTAAGGGGTGCGGCCTGTCTCCCTTGTCCTGGCCGCCTCCAGCTGGTGAGAGGAGCAACGACCCTGGTTGAGTGCCCCTTTCCCCATAGCGATCAGGGGCGACGGAAAACTGGCGGTGATCTGGCCTCCCCGCAGAAAGGCTTCGGAGAACGGCCTGGAGCAGGTGGGTTCCCCTTTTTCCCTCTTGCCTCAGACGCTTATCACTCTCTCTCCCCTATCCCCCACGACCCTGCGGCGCCAAGACGCTGAACCAGGGAAAGTGCATCCCCGCGCCCCTTGGGAAGTCGCCCTAGGCTAGGATACAAAGACCCGGGCGCTGCTCAGGGGTGATGTGGAGGGGGTGGTCCTGGGGCCCAAATTGCCCCACCCTAAGCCTGGGTGTCCCTCTTCCCAGGAAGAGCGAAAGCCTTGAGGTTGGAGTGGGTTGGGATCCCGGCCGAAAGTAACATGACCGTCAGAGGACATGGACAAGAGGAGCCGAGGAGTGCCCTCTGGATAAGCAGAAGTCCTGGAGAGGGGCCAGCCGTCTGCGCCGGGAAAGATGAAATCTGCCAGCCCATCCTTGAACTTGATTTTGTGAAATTGATCAGTTTCTGCTATAAAACTGTTATTGGGAAATACCACTACAACAACCCAGCCATTGAAATAGTCCAGCTCTTCTCCACCTAATTGCAAACCGAGCTAGCCTTTCCCTCCAGCCTTGACTGGGGTCACCGCCTCAGCTTCCCCACTCCCCAATAAAGTCCGTTTTTTCTGAGCAGTGCAGGGTATTTTATTTTGGGCCCTCCTGGTCTGGGGTGTGGCGGGAGCGCAGCGAGCGGAGGGAAAGCCGCCGGGGGCGCGGAGTGTGCGGAATGCGGAACGTCTCCTTAAAGCCCAGTTCCTGGGCCGCTGGTCTCCCCCGTCCCTGCCCGGGTCCTAATGCCCCCTGGCGGCACTGGTGCAAACTGCAGCGCTCGGATCAATGACCTCACGCCCTCTTTTCCAGACTTCATCAACATTTATTGGTGCCAGAGGCTTGCCCCGCGCTAGGTGCTGGCTAGACAGAATTGATAAGAGGTTGTTCCTGCCTTGGGATGTAAACAATAGCTACAAAAGAAAAAAAGAGGGTACAAACTCCTTAGCGGGGCACACAAGGCCATTTATAATCTGTCCAGTGATTGCAAACCTCACATGCTTGCGGCCCCAGGCAAATATTAAGAAGATGAGAGGTGCTCAAAAACAAATGCCTCGGTTCAACGGGCTGTAAGTGTTCCTCCATAACAGCAGTGCCACCAACGAGTGAGTTAAGTGGTGCAGAGCTTCTGCTTTCCAAAAGCAACAGAAACCTAGCCTTTAAAAGAGAAATATACTGCAAATAATAGTGACTAATTAGAAACTTTTTAAATTGGGGGAGGAGTGCCAGAGAAGGCAGCAAGCAACACCTGTTTGCAATAAGGCTTATGGTTATCAATTGGCAGACTCTCCTTAATTCTCTCTGTCCCAAGACAAGGGGTTCAAGGCCCCCTTGAATGGACTTCAAGAAGTTCTGGAATACCCCAAGTTGTAAAATTGTATCTCTGCAGTTATATTCTGTGGTTTTAGTGTACCAGTTTCTTAGAGGTGCAGTGAGACCCAGAAATGGTTGAGACCCAGGAAACATTTTAGAATCATTGTTTAAATTCCTGGATTTGTCCAACTCTGTATACCCTGGGTCTAGCAACAGGCTGGAACCTGCATAGGGACAACAAATGGCTAATGAAGGATGCAAGAATACTTGCTCATACATTGCACCCCAAAAGCAGCTCAGTCCACCATCTGACCACATGCTTGATGGTGACTCTGGGAGGTCTGGAGAGAAAAGTAGGGAAGTCAGCACTACCAAGGTGGAAATGGAAACACCCAGAGCCAGTTCTTAATTCCCAGCAGGGCAGCTAAGAACTAAGAATGTAAAGAATTGACAGGGTGGCTTAAGTATAGACCTGGTTTCTTGAACTTTCCTGCAAGTTAAAATCACCGGAAGCACCCTTGTGCCAAGCAAATCAGAATCTGAGGGAGGCCTTGGCATCAGTAAAGCTTCCCAGGTGCTTCCAACGTGGAACCAAGTTTGAGAGCCATGATGTAGATGGCTCTCGAAGTTGGCTAGCAGTTCTCAAAGTGTGCTGCTTGGACCAGCAGCACCAGAATTGCTTGGGAACTTGTTAAAAACACACATTCATGCCCTAGCCAGTTTGGCGCTGTGGTTAGAGCGTCAGCCCTCAGACTGAAGGGTCCTGGGTTCGATTCCGGTCAAGGGCACGTACCTCAGTTGCAAGCTCGATCCCCGGCTTCGGTCAAGGCAACCAATTGATGTGTCTCTCTCACATCGATGTTTCTCTCTCCCCCATGCCCTTCCACTCTCTCTGAAAAGCAATGAAAAAATATCCTCGGGTGAGGATTAAAAATAAAAATGCACATTCTTGCCCAGCCAGTGTTGCTCAGTGGTTGAGTATCGCCTAATGAACCAAGATGTCCCGCGTTCGATTCAATTCCCTGTCAGGGCACATGCCCGGGGGAATGCAGGTCGCAGCCAAGTGATGTCTCTCTCTCATCGATGTTTCTATCTCTATCCTCCCTTTCTCTCTCTCTCAAATCAATAAAAACATTTATTAAAAAAATACAGGACACTCAATGAGATTCTAATTTCACATCAACAAAAAATTAAAAACAAACAAAAAATGCACATTCTTGGGCCCTATCCCAGACTTGATCAAAACCTCCATGTGATTCTCAGGGATGCTAAAGTTGGAGAATCATAGGTGTAGACAGTTCTCCAGGAACAGGACCTGGAAAACAAGCCTGTTTCCTTCCTCTCCCAGTAATGCTATCACCCACTGGAAACCTTTAGCCTTAAGTCACCTGTGGATTTGTCTTATGGGAGATAGTCTAAAGCTGTGTGTGGCTAGTCAGAATTGATATTACTGTAAGTGTAAAATACCAGATTTCAAAGGCTTAGTACCAATAAAAGGGGGGGGGGATATCTCATTAATTTCTTACATTGATTATATGTTGAAATAATATTTTGGAGATCCTGAGTTAAATAAAAATATCACTAAAATTACTCTGACCTTTTTTAAAAAATGTGGCTACTACAAAATTTGAAATTACATATGACTCACACTTTATATTTCTATTGAACAAGGCTAGTCTATAGTTTTACAGCTGAGAGATCTCACAGGAGCTACCTCAAATTAGTATTAGGGAGCTTCAGAACCCCTTTAAATTCACTGGGATCTGGGCTGTGGACTAAAAAGTCCTTGATGCAATCAGAAATTGTCACCAAAAGCCCCATTCCCCCCAAAACAGGTTTTGGTGTCCAATCCTGATTCACTTAACCTTTCACATCTGTTTGTGTCATCTGCAAATTGGGGCTTATGATAATACAATGTGCCAGGGACTATTAGGTAACCAAGTGCTTTGCTCAGAGCATAAAAGCAGGACTCTAGGTCTCTCCTCCGACCCTGAAAATGCACGGAATAAAAGGCATTCCTTAGTTTAAAGGGTGTAACGTGCAACTGAGTGACACAAGGCCAGGAAGGACACCCCTCACCTCGAAAGGAACCAGTTGCGATCAGAAGGACCCACCTCAGGTCCAGGCTCCGCTACTTGATCGCCGTAGCTTTGAACAGGTTGAGTTCAACTGTCTCAACCCGAGTTTCCCCTCCAGTCCAAGGCTGGGGTGAGGCTTTGGAGATCCAAGGTTGCAGTTCTTTGCGGCTCTCCCACCCCACCTGCTCCCAGGACACGCCACAGGGCATAGCGACCTGCCCGGTCTGGGACCCAAAAGCTAGAAAAAGATCTGACCTCGGCTTTTAGGAAACGAATCAAGGGCCCTCATCCTGGGGTACATCCAGAAATACAGTCTTTTATGGTACAAAGAAATCACTTCCGGGTCAAAACATGCGAATGGGCGTGACTCTGGGGGAGGTCCCTTCACACACTCTCTCTCTGTTTCTCTCTCTCACTCACACTCACACACACTCTCACACACACACACACAGCCCCCAACGGGCGCTGAATCCCTCGGCTACCCGAAACTTGCGGTTCTCTGGGTTTGTTGACAGCGCCGCTACTTCCCTTTTTGCTTCGTGTGCGCCTTTGCACATGCCCAGATCTCACGTCCACCGGTCCACGAAACACGGTTTTCTTACAAAAACCACATTTCCCAGAAGACCTCGCGAGTGGGCGGGGCTTGGTCGCCCCAAGAGGTGGGGCGCGGCGCTCCGAGTGGACTGAGAGTCTGTGACCTCTTTTCTTTCTTTTATTTAACACAAAACTGGTGTATCAGCACGCAGGGCCCCGCGGCCGGGCCAGACCCGGTGCGGACGGACCAGCTCGGCCTGGCCCCGTAGAAGGTGAGGCCAGGCCCCCTTGGAGAACGAGTGAGCCCCTCCCTGCCCCCTCTCCTAGAGTTTGGAACTGTCAAACTCCAGCTCCCACCCTCTCTCACGTTCAAGACCCCTGCGCGGCCCACGCCGTGGGGCCGGCCGCGCTCGGGGGCCGGGCTGGGCCTGCCTGGCCCGTGAGGATTTGCACCAGTAGGTCGGTGGCTAGTGTGTGAGACGGCTCCTCGAAGCCGATGGTCAGCAGCTGCTGGTAGTCTCCAGACGGCTGTGGGCACAGAATCCTGGGGGCAGAGGACAGACAGGGCTGGACGTGAGCGCCCCCTGCTTCTCGGGAGCCTCTCCCCTCTGATGAGAGGCTGTGGCTGAACGAGGCCTTGTTACAGCTGGGGGGGGGAAAACCCTGGGGGAGAGTGATTTCCTTGTTGATGAGAAACCTAGAGGGAACTAGTTTCTGGGAGGCTGAACTACTTATCCCTAACCTGGCCAATCACTCATCTAGCTGCTGTGTGCCCTTGGGCAGGTAACTTAACGTCTCTGAGCATGTTTCCTTCTTTGTAAAAATGGGCTAGTAGTATAGTCCTCAGTGGGTTTTACATAAAGCAGTTTTCAGGGCACAATAAAATGCTGCCGTTATTACCAAGGGAAACAATGTTGGGGGAGGGAGATGGTCTTTGGTGGGGTTCTGCCCCTCCCTCCAGAGCCTACGCCCACTTTGCCAGGGCCCTAGCTCCTACCAGGAATAAAGGTCATCCTCTGCTGGTCCTAGGGGCACCCATCTGCCGATTGACCACAGCTTCTGAATCTGGGGGCAAGAATTGGCCGAACTCTTGCCTGTGTCTTCCCATGTATCTCGATAGCACAGGAAGTAGCTGGGAGGGGAAGAGGCAGCAATTAAGGGTGAGCAGTTTCCTAGCTTCTTCTGTTGAGGGCTTTAATTTTGGAGGTGAGGTAGAAACTTATCAGAAGTTGCCTTCAAGTTCTCAAACAGGGATGTGACTAAATACTGAGGCCTCTTCTACCTGCAGACTACTTTTAAGATGAGGACTTTTCTTTTGATTGGTGGATGAATATTTTAAAAGGTAAGGATGGCCTTTCAAAGGTCCTTGGTTTCCTGTTTGGCTTTTCACACTTTGCTGGTGGTGGTGGTGGTTCAGAGGCCCATATTGTTATTCTCCATAGAGCCTGGGTGGGGACTTTGATTCTGGTAAGGGGACTCACTAATCCACATGGGAATCCTGCCCCTGGCTCCTGGAGTCTGGGGTAGTTTCCAGGTTCCAGCGCATCTTCTTATAGAGGTACCGGGGGAAGCGGCTGGTAGTGTAGGCAGCAGGGGCACAGTATCTGAAGATGGACACCTCGTGGGAAGAATTGATGGAGAATCTCCCGCAGAAGAAACAGGAGATGCTGGCAGGAGATGGGAGAATGGGGAAGGAGGCTGGCTATGCCCCAGGCTCTTCTACCCCCTACCAATCCCAATCTCCTACCCTTTTACCTTAGAGGGTCTGTCTCTTCCAGTTCTACAAACCCAAATGAGGCATACATGAGCACCAGCTGTTCCAGGCGCAAGGTAAGCTGTTGGGAGATCTCCAACAGCTGCATGGAAGAGGGGGTATCATAAGATTAGCTGGCCTACCAGGAGCACCCCTCCCCCTCCCCCAGGCCTGAGGTATGAAGAAAGGGGCATGGGGTCTAGGAAATTGGCCCCACACACCCCCTTTCGAACCAGCTCCTGCAGGGCTCCATAGATGGGGGGCACACTTCGTGCAGCCGCCTCCAGGTACAGGAAGTAGGGCTCACACATCTTTAAGAAGGTGGGCATGGCCTTTGCCAACTGTTCCTTCTGAACTCGGTCCCTGCTGAAGGGAGAAGAGGGCCTTTGCCTGGGATCCTTTACCTCCCCTTTTTCCCATTCTACTCACCCCTGACTTTTATCCCTGGTATGGATCTCTAGTCCGGACCTCAATTACATCCCCCCCCTCCAGTGACAGGCCTTTGTCAGAACATCTTCCAGGGCAAGCTGCATTATAACTATTTGAAACACTTGTTAAAATGCTGACACCTGAGTCCCATGACTGACTTTTGACTCCAAATTCTCTGTAGAGTGGAGCACAGAAACCTAGGATTTAAATAGCCTCCCAGGATCAGTCCTTTTTTCCTTCGGCTGGGAACCACATTCTCCTTTTGGTCTCAAATTGGTAGCCAGCAGGCCAAATCTGGCTCAGGTAGGTTTTGTTTAGCCTGCCCAGGGTCCAAAACCTAAGCCATCAGTTAAAAACCGAAAAAAGTCCTAGAGATTTGGCAAATGTGCGCACATAATAGCAGGTACTCCCTAACCCCAAATGGTACATAGCCCTCATCCCGCTTCCATATTGGATTCCTAATCAGCTAGCTTCATTCATTGTCTCTAGCTCCTAATGCTTTTAAGTTTTAGACTGTGGTATGTTCCACCTGCCTATCCAGTCACCCTCTTTTGTCTCCTTATCCACCGGGATGCTGGGACCCTGTCCAGCCATCACCTGTAAAGCAAGTAGCTTTGGAAATCATCTGCCTTCTTGAGTAGGTAGCGGAGCTGTTCAGTGATGGGGCTGAACAAGGTATCCAAGGGTAGGCAAGGAGGTGTGGGTCCCGGGACCAGAGGCTCCGGGGAAGGCGTAGAAGGGGAGGTCTCGGGCAGTTGCCCCCGGACATCCTCCGGTTCCGCTTGGGCTGGGTCCCCAGGTCGGCCAGGGGGCGTCGACCACGAGGGGTCTCTGCAGGGCTGTGCCCCAGGTTCCAAGTCGTCCGGGGGCAGCGTTTCCCCAGTGCCCGAGGTGAGCGGCCCCATGAACCACTGTTCGGTTGCCATTGTGGGGCTGGAGGAAGGGATCTGAGCCCTTTAAGTCTCTATTGCTCCAGTTGGCCACGGGTTCGACCCTGCCCCGGGATTCTCTGATTTGCCTAGGCTGGGAGCGCAGCCCAGTCCACCTCTCCCCTGCTCGACCGCTCCGCCGCACCGCGCGGAGTTCACCTCGTTTGAATTTCAACACGCAGGACGGGCGCGCGCTCCCGCAATCCAACGGAGGTGGTGGTGGGGCAACCTGGGCCGGCACTGGCGCGGCCATGTCCTAGGTGTGCGGTCGGGCCCCGCCTTTCTCTTGGAGGCAGTTTCCTAGGGAGGAGGGGTCTCTGCACCGCGTGCAAACCCTAAGGCGCAGGAATATAAAGGTAGACACCTGGCCCACCCGCAGAACCTCTGAATCCGGGGCTGGAATCTGTATTTTAAAAACTAATGGAGTTCAGAGAAACTGCATTAGAACCTAATAGGAGCTTGTGATGTAGTAGCTGTTGCTACTACTAAAAAAATTATCTATTTGGAAAAATTTTCCCATCCCATGATCTCATCTGATAACCCAACCCTTTGTTCCTTTTATGGAGAGAGAGCCTTGTAGGTTGGAGATCCTATCATGGACCCAGAACAGACCCCTGCTTCCAACAATTTTTTGTAGCATGCAAGGCTGTCAGATATATACATATGAAGCCAAATACATTCATTATACTTAAATTCTGGGTAAAGTGCTCACAGGTGTTGGAATCCACCCTGCATGACTCTGAGCTAGTATCTTTGCTGCAGGGAGCAAGTTGCCTGTCTGTAAAGTGGGTTTTTACATGCTCTGCTTCATGGCGCTATGGAGAGACCAACCAAGAAAATGTAAAGCCCATTTAACTGCCAGTCACTCAACAAACATTTAAGCACCTATTGTGCTTAGGCAGTTCTGGACATGGAGAGATAGAACTAAACAAATATTCACACCCTCCTGCAGCAGTCACAATTATAGCTGGCTGTGAGGAAACCCCAATTCACTACCTGTCTCCCTCCAAGAACAATTCAGTGCTAACCCACTCTCCCAGGAGGCTGGTGTGGTTCAAAGCCCCTCCCCCACTCCATTGATAGAATGGGACTCCTGGCCTTTTTTTTCTTTTCTTTTTTTTTTTTAAAACTTTATTTAAAAAACCTTCGGTGCAATATTAAAAAGCAATACAGCTAGCTGGAGCGACAACCAATGGAAAGGGGAAGCGTAGGGAAGGCCCACTGATCTCACCCCATCTGTTTTCAGGGGATGGAGGCTGGGGGCAGACCAAGGAGGGGCCTGGTTGGTGGGGGAGGGAAGAAAGGCCACCCACCAAAATAAACAGGCAGAACAAATCATTTATATAGGAAACATCTGGCTGAACTAAAGATCTAGGGGAGATGGGAAGACCCCATTTCTTTCTTTTCCCCCCCAAAATGTCCTAGGTTGGGGACGAAGGGGGGCGGTTTGGCCTCCTGGGGTGAAATGAGCAGGCCCTATCCACACCACACTCCTCCATCAGGAAGTTTGGGATGTGCTGGAGGCCAGATGTGTGTATTGGGGAGACATAGGGAAGAGATGAGTAGGGAAGGGTGTCCCTCATTGGAATCTGTTATGAGGGCTGAGAGTGTCCCTGGTCCAGCTCCTGGACTCCAGGGGACTTGGGTGAGATGGGGATGGAATGGGTTGGGGCAGGAGTGAGGCTGGGTGCTCAGCCTAGAAAGCCATCAGGGTCATCATCCTCAAAGTGGCCTTGCTGGAGCACCTTGATGTGGTGCTCATAGATTTTCAGGGCTGGGCCAAGACGGATGGACAGGCCAGTTAGCACATCTGTCCGCTGCATGAGCAGGAGAGACTTGCCATCTATTTCCTGGGTGGGACAGAGAGAGACACAGAGAGCAGGGTCACAGCAGACCAACTGAGGCCCTGGGGTAGAGGGGAGAAGCCAAGGGTTGGGGACTCACCTGTTCTTGGAAAGCTGTTGCCTGCTCGGGGAAGCCAGCCTCTGTGAAATATTCTACCACGTCCATCACTGTCCATTCCACAGGGTCAGCTGGCTTCTCTTTGCGCCCAGAACTGTTAGAGAAGAGGGAACCAGTGAGTAGTGATGTTACTCTGGTTGTTACACACACCTCAGCACCACCCTCTTTTCTCAAACACCCCAACTTACGGACAACCAAAGGGGGTTCCATCGGCCCCAGGCAGGGCTGGTTTTCCTGGGGGCAAAGGCACGGGGGACGGGGAGTCTGGCCCAGTGGCAGCAGAGGCTGGGAAAGAAAATGCATCTGCCTGTGGCTTTGTCTTAGGGCTTGGTTCCTCCCCACTAGGCACCCTCCCCCACCCAGAGGGGTCCTTACCTGATCCCCCTTCCTTATTCAAGGCTGCCATGGAGAACACCTGGCGGGTGCCACTGCCTGGCGCTGGCCCTCGCCCTTCATCCTGGCCCTGGTGGGGTCCACAGGGTGTCCACTCCTTGACCCTCTCCTTGGCACTCTGAGGGCCCCTCTCGCCATTAAGCTGATGGTGCTGGGCACCTGCAGGACGGTCACCCTCTGGTACCTCGGAGCCTTCAGACACATTGTCTTCATCACCTTCATCTTCCTCCTCTTCCTCCTCTTCCTTCTCAAGCAGTCGCTCTTCCCCACCTCTCTGGTGCCAAGGAGAGAGGCATGCAACGTTAGCAGCTGTTCTGGCCCTGGGATCCAGGACCCAGCGGTGTACCTAAGGGCCACCTTTACTATCAACACGAACTAACTTTTATATATTCGCTCCGTGCCAAGCTATGTGTTAATAAAGCTCGCAGTAGTCAAATCTTACTAAACTCGCTCAACCCCAAGAGGTCGCTACTGCTAAGTCTCATTTTACACCGGAGGAAACTGAGGCTCGGAAAGATTAAGTCACTTACCAAGGTCGCTACACGCTGAGCCCGCAGGGAAGACTCGCAAAGCCCAAGCTGCTCCCGGAACTCGTAAC